CATTGAGATTTAACAACAAAGGTTGAAAAGCACAAGCAAGCAGGAAAAGAGTGAAGGAATAGATGAATACCAGCACATTCTGTTTCCCATAAAACATTCCAATGACAAATATACTCAAAATATTCTTCAATTTGGATTTTATTCTGTCAAAATAGTTTGAAGATCATTATCATTTACAGAATTAAATGATGCAAAAATGTCTTTCAGTTTTAATCAGGGATGCCTAAATATTGCACAAACATTGTTTCAAAATCTTTTTCATCTTCTTCGCAAGTCTGACTTCGCAACTGAACAAATGTTTTCAGAAAACTAAATACAGAGAAGAGGAAAAAAAAAAAATCACAGAATCATAGGGATTGGAAAGGACCTCCAGAGACCATCGAGTCCAACCCCCCTGCCAAAGCAGGTTCCCTACACCAGGTCGCACAAGTAGCTGTCCAGGTGGGTCTTGAATATCTCCAGAGAAGGAGACTCCACAACCTCCCTGGGCAGCCTGTTCCAGTGCTCCGTCACCCTCACTGTAAAGAAGTTCTTGCGCACATTGGTGCGGAACTTCCTATGCTCCAGCTTCTGGCCGTTTCCCCTTGTCCTGTCTCCACACACTGCTGAAAACAGTCTGGCCTCGCCACTCTGCCCCCCACACCTTAGATATTTCTAGACCTGGATCAGGTCCCCTCTCAGTCTCTTTTTCTCAAGGCTAAACAGACCCAGCTCACTCAGCCTTTCTTCACAGGGGAGATGCTCCAGGCCCTTCACCATCTTTGTGGCCCTCCGCTCGCTAAGAGATCCCTGTGTTTTTTGTACTGGGGAGCCCAGAACTGGACACAGTACTCCAGATGAGGCCTTACCAGGGCAGTGCAGAGGGGGAGGATCACCTCCCTCCACCTGCTGGCCACACTCTTTTTAATGAACCCCAGAATGCCATTGGCCTTTTTGCCCACATGGGCACACTGCTGGCTCATGGCCAACCTGTTGTCCACCAGGACAACAAATAGATATAGGAAGCTTATTCAACTTGTAAGTAAAATTCAGCAGGCCAGCAGAAGAGTTTAATTATACTTATTTTACACAAAGTAATTAAAACCAAGATAATTTTCCACTGCAAAGAATTAGGGCAAGAAGAATATTACAGCGTCTTATAAAGGCAGGTGTTCGTGTGCAGCATTTATACAACACAGCTGGCAATAAAATGAAAAAGACCTGCCTCCTTACCAGTCTGCCAAGCCAGATCCTGACATTCTAGCAAGCATATATACACAGTTTGTACAGGATCTAGAACAGACTTGTACAAAAGAAATCCATCACAACAGAAATGGCTTAGCAAAGTCTTTGTTAGTACAAAACTCAGAGGTGATAGACATGAGGTTATACTTCAAGTTCAATGTTACCTTCAAATACTTTACAGGAGCCATAGCGTGGATGAGAAAAAATTATGTAATACTAGAAAGCAAGCACACTGCAGTCTGCAAGCAGTGAAGACGACCACTGACACACATATCTTCTACAGAGAACTAACTTGTATATTTAACTCAAGATAGTTCTAGTCAAATACAAAGCAGCCACAGCACTAAAGTACTTCTACTTTGTTTACACTGCTACTACATTCACATACAGGTATCATTAATGGTTGTGTGCATGTTATGTAATTCTCTGTGAACCAAACGCATTTTTTTTTAAAAGTTATTTCCAAAACCATGCACACCAGGAAAAAAAGAAAAGAAAAAAAAAAAAAAGGAAACAAAGGCCCGTACTTTGGAGGACTGCAGAAAGTCACTAGAGAAATACCACCCTTCAAACAGAGCTGGAACATATATATGCTCCAGCATAGCAGCACTTGCCATTTCTGCCTTTCTGCAACACAACCCATCTTGGATAGAGCGTCTGTATGGAGGATCACCAAGGCTTTGACATAAGCATTAGGACAGTCTAGGAAGTGAATAAATAAATTCTGAAACTTATATTCTGACATGCCCTCCCTCCCCTCCCCTCCCCCCCTACCCAACATTCTTATCTACTTCCCAGAGGCACCATGTGCATACAACCCAACCACATCCAGTCTATGCAAACATATACACAACACTCGTTTCATTATACTTATAAAGTACACATTCCTGTTTACGCTTTATAATATTTTAAAGATAAAATTTTCTAGTTAAAGGCAGCAACCTTTATGGATATTACTGCTTTCTAGTTCTGAAACAAATGTTTCAGGATTATACATGCTATAGTCTTTGCAACAAACTATACACCAAGATTAAAAAGTCCTGGATACTTTGAAGCAGACAGGTTGAAAAAGGGCAGCTGACTACCTATTTCTCGGTATCTAGCCGGCAAATACAGATACGTAGAGGTGTGTAGGAAATTTCTTATCCTCTAAAATATTTCACACTTCACAACTAACAAGACAAAAACACCATAAGGATATGATGATATGTTTCTTAATCTAATTGGGAAATTCACCTGCCTATTTTGCAGCTAAAGGTTTCAGAAAGAGCCATGAGATGTACACGCTTGACACACTTTTGTTTAATTAAAAGGAAAAGACAAGTAAGAAGTTATTTTCAGCCTGAAGTAGCACCTCCAGGTTACCAGCACTTATGGTCTTTTTGTGCTAGTATAACACCTGCAGTTCTAAAGAGGTAACTGTATACTAAAATTTCCCTAAAGTCAGAAGCTACAGCTACAGGCATACGTTGCAGGTACGTGAGATCAGAAGCATCTCCAAGGTACTTGACTGGTGGGAAATAACAACATCTCTACGCTAAATCTAATGTGTAATAGGATGACACAGCTGTATAAAACACACCATAAAACTCAGTGACAGCTGAGTTTAACAGTTCCTGCTTGCTGGCTTCTTTCCTCCCGAACTAACAATTCAAAAAAACTCAACATCTTCCAGGTCAGTAATTACTACCCCACAGCATACTTTTCAAGCACGAGAACCATATTTGAACTGTTCACACGTTACATTTAGCTTAACAGAAACATCCTGGTGCCTTAAATAATTAAAAACAGAATATCACAGTGATCTCAAACCCTGAAAATCTCAATTTCAGCATTGAACTGTTGAGTATCACTAGCAGACAGCAGACAAACAGAGAAATAATGAATGCCATGATAAGAAGTTACCACTGTTCATCACCGATGAATGAAGCCTGGGGAGAGCTTAGGAACCTCTAGCTAAATGCTATCTGGCAAATTTTTGATGTTTTCAGATCACTCGTAAGAAATCTAAAATAAGCTAGTAAAGTCAAGTACTTCATCTTCTGATTTGCAATACTCAAACACAGAGAAGCCGAATAAATACTCAAAAGCAGAACAGTCTGATACAGACCTGTAAAATCAAAATAACCTAATGTACATACTCAATAACAAAAGTCATTTTGAAGCGATTGAAGCTCTGCTGAAATTGTCACCAGCAGACTTCCAGTCTAAGATTTCACAGAATTTGACAACACTCCCAAAGTGTTTGAAGCTAACATATCAATCCCCAGTAGCTGCCTAACTGAAAAGAATTGTGCATGACCTATCATTTCAAACTACCAGCATTTATGCAGGAAACTACAAGACTTTCCAAAGTATTACCTGTTACAAATCTCCTGAACAGCATGCTCTAAAGACATATCAGACTGACCATTAATGGAAGTTTCATGCAAGAAATCATTCAAATATTAACAAGCAACATTCTATGTCAGAAGACTATTGTTAACAGTAGGTTAGCTAGATCTAGTACCACAAAACAGAGTATGCTTTGTTATTCAATAACACCTTATATTTACACAAAAGGAAGATTAGCTCACCTCCTTCATAAGAAAGACACTTTTCTTTTTCCAAATAGAACTTAAAATAAAATCCTGTCACAGTGTTAAGGATTAAATCTTTTGTATAAGTGCACTCAGGGAAATTTGGTGCAGGCCTAATTCAAAGTCCACAGGAATGAAGGTCAAGAGTCACTTACTTCAGTGTTGTCTTAAGGAAAAAAGAACAACTCCTCCCCAGGTCCTGAGCCTTATTAAGGCTATTTCAACATACGTAATACAAACTATGTGCGCACCTACATATACTAAACTAATGCCTATGGAAGCCATAGAGCTGATCCCTCTCTCCACCTCAATTCAAAAGTGTCAGAGTAAAGCCCGCCATGGACAAGTAACTCAAAAGAAAAGTTAACACTAGAGTTCATTTATAAGCTCTGGTTATACTGACTCAAATCATGCTCCAACAACTTAATACAGGCATGTTAGAGCGGTGTTTTTTATGCCAAGACAAGAGCTTGTCCTGATCCAAAATGTCTATAGGCACCACTCTTCCAGAACATGAAACATTTAACACCAAGTTCCCATATCAATGCTACCAGAATATGAGGGAAGATTTGTACCATGTGGGCTGAGAATTTGAAGAGGCCTTATTACTAGCATGAATGCTATGCTCAGAGACCAAGCAGGTATAGGCAAATTACTCTCTGGGGCTCGTACTCCACAGAGCTCTACGCAACTGACGCAATTTTTAACTGCGGGGGGGGGGAACGACACAAGTATGCCAAATGTTTAAAACAACACGATGTAGAAAACACATCACCCCCGGGTAGAAACCCCCGAGCTACACGGGAGCCCACTGAGAACGCCAGGGCGGCAGTGGAAGCCCATTTCCCCGGCCTCCATGAGGCGAGCTGAGAGGGCCGCACACGCAGACATTACCTCCGCTCACTACAAAGGGAGGGAGCGCGGGCGCTAGCGACGAACGCTGTCGCTAGGGGGAGAAGCTGCATCCTCACGAGAAGGACGGCGCTACCTCCCCGCCGAGGACCGTGCCGAGAAGCGGGGGCACGGCACAGCCCCGCGGTGCCCGACGGAGGCGGGGAAGAAGGGCGCGCCGAGGGCACCTGCCGGGACGCCGTTCCGGAGCTCTGTGTTGCAGCGCTCCCCTGCCCGAGCCGCAGGCCCTTCTTTTCCAAGGGAAGGTTATTCAGGAGGGAGAGAGGCAACGCCGCGGCTACTCACATGGGCTCCAACGTTTTGCTGAGCCAGGATTTCAGCGCCTCGAAGTTTTCTATGATCATTTTAACCACCATCCAGAGCGGCCCGAGCCCCGCGCCTCCCCGGCAGCAACAGCAGCACCACCAACAACGGCGGCGGGCTCCGTGCCGCCCCGCCGGCCGGGACCCCGGCTCCCGCCGCGCCTCCCCCTGCCCCCCGAGGCCGCCTCCCGGTTCGGCAGAGGCCGCTCGGCAGGGGCAGGAGGCCCAGCGCCACGAAGGGGGCGGAACCAACCGAGCGGCGGCTGCTCCCCGCGGGCCCCGCTCTCGCTTCTCCTTCGCCGGGAAACGCGGCCCGGCCGCCCCGCGGCTGCCCTCTTCCTGCTCCTCGGCGGCGGCCGGCGGGCACCGAGCGCAGCCCCGAAACGCGCCGCCCCCCCTCCTCGCCCCTCAGCCGCAGAGCGAGGCAGAACGAACGGACTAGCGAGCGAGCAGGTAAGATGGCGGCGCGCCGCTGTCGCGAGCATAAGGAGTCTCGCGAGAACGGGCGGCGCGCGGGGCCTGCCGGGAGGCGGAGCCAGGGCGGGTTGCATGGCGGCGGTTGGGGGTGGTGATGGTGGCGGCGGGGCTGGGCGTTCTAGTTGGCTCTGCCCGGAGCGCGTGGAGGCGGTTCTTGGCGGGGAAGAGAGCCTCCTGGGAATTGGAGGGGGTGCTATTATAACGAAACGTGTCTCGGAGAAACAGAAACGTGGGAGGGTGCTTTCCCCTCCCCTGTGATACAAATATCATAAATGTCAACGTCTGGAAAGTTGCATTAAAATCATTTAAAAAAAAAATAATAAAATAATACAGTTCTCAGCATTTTCCTGATCAATTCATCAAAGCTCATATTCGTAAGCACTGCTATTAAATGCAACCCTCCAGCAGGGAGTGGGGTATTTTTAGACCTAGCAGAGCATACATCTGGGTAAAAACAGCAGCACAGGCACCGTGTGAAGTATACAGTCACCCTCCCAGCGTGGGATGATGCTGATCTTAGGGGTCAGATCCCAGGAAGCACCCATATCACCTCTGCTGGCCTTGGAACAGTGGATGCTGCCACAGCTCAGGCCGAGCCAGGGGAACTGAGGCTTTGCTCCATCTCCCTGGGGTGGCTGAGCCCCATAGAGACTGCCCGCAGTGATACCGAGTTGTCCTGTGAGATACCTGAAATAGCAGTAACTACTGGTGCTTTTTTTCAGTACCTCACATTTGCTGAGTACTGAACAGTATGGTTGATGTGATGTTATATGCCTAGATTCAGTAGACTTACGACAGGCCAGCATCTAACCCCAGGTTGTGAGCTGTTTTATGTGGTCATTGTACCACACTGAGGCAGATATTCCAAGGAAGTAGTGGACTGTTGGACTGAGGGCAGTGCAGATACATGACTGTTGAGCTGCCTTCCTGTTTCTCACGGCTGTAGAGTTTGGGTAATCAAGCTAGACTGGACAGCAAATTTGATCTTGACTGGTCTGTCAATATGTCAGCATCCTGATGTCCTATCTATGTTACATGGAATCAGGATAATAGCAGTAGTCTTGGCGTCCAATGGTGAAGATAATAAGATATATTTGGATGCAGGAATATCAGGCTGTTGTCCTGTTTGGGGAACTCCTTCAAGATTCATCCCTATCTACCCTCTGCTGGTAGCAGCTCACCACAGATCCTTACTACCTACTTCCCCCTGAAAAATTTTTACCTCTCTTAATCTGTTACAGAACAAGGACCGTGGTATATTACAGTCCTTATTTTCTTTCATGCTGCTGAGTAGAACTTGATCTCTGCAGAGAAAATGTCAAGTATCCAACATAGCTAAAAAAGCCAACACGTAAAACTATCAGTTTTTCAGGTACATCTGTGAGGTCATTCCAATTTCAAGATGTACTTTGATTTCTCTGCACAGTGGAGTGTGAGTGGCAGATTCAGTCAGTAGACAAAAAGTCACCAGCATGTGAAATTCTTTGGAGGCTGTTTTGTACACATGGCTGTGGCTTGCAATCACCAAGATGCAAGTTAATTCCCCTTGAACATATAAAACGGTTATTAAGCTTGGGTGTGATCTACCTTTGAAGGGACAGGCACATAGAAATCAGGCATTGTGATAAGAATCCAGCCCTTAATCTTTTGCAAAAGCCAGTTTCTAGTAGAAACAATTCAGGAAAACACTGTGTCAGTCTCCTTCACTATTATCTTTGCAACTACCTTTGATCCTTAAATATACAAGCCAGCAAGAAAACATCGTCTCCAATACTTCCCTTCATAAAATGTTTGGATATAATGGTGGTAGCAACTTTACTATGTCTGACACCTCATTTTCTATACTGCTGTCAAGCTATTCAGAAGCACACAGTTATAAATGAAATTTGTGATCCACAAACATATTTCACAAGTCTGTTTTAGGCACTTTGTCTGCATGTAACTTATGAGCATAAAAATGCTGATAGAAGCATGCACTATCACCTCTCTGTGGCAATTTAACTATAAGAAATACATTTATAGCTGCAGACATTTCCTCTTTTAGTATTTGCGGACTAAACTTTAGGACTTACAAAGGTTCAGAACCAACACCTTCAGAAGTTGCCACAATGTTCTGTAGCACTTTTAAATCAATTTTCATTTAATTTTCTGGCAGGAATTAGAAGAAACCAAAGCGAAAAAGTATTCATTAGATCTGAGAATAAAATTTCCTCTGACATATAAGGTGGGTTCTTTACATTAAGATGGCTTCTACTTAAGACACAATATCATAAGAATCTTAGAAGTTTACAAAGAGGTAGTCTTTGCTTAAACTGTAGTTGCACATGAAATCAGCGCTTTAATTTAAAAACATCCTGAAAATCATATTTCATTTAATGCAACATAATAGAGAATCTGTGCAGGGTGTCAAAGTAATTATTAACTTGTCATGTTTCTGTGAGACAAATAAGCTACTATTTCTCCTGTACCTATTCAGTGTAAAGTTCATAAACTGCCCAAGAGGAAGAAAAAAAAAAATAATAAATGTCATCCCTATCTATGTAATGAAAGTCAGAAAGAAGATACCAAGGAAAAGAATGAATTTTTGAAAAGATTGGAAAGTAGCAAATGAATAATTTAAATACTCTTCTTAGGTTTCAACAATTGTTGAAATTTAGAAAATCAGTTCCTTTTGCTAAATGATAGTGGTACACTGTATCATGAATATGATCTGCAGAGATCAAACACTTAATTGGAACTAAATCACAGCTATTGCAAAATATGAAAACAGATGAATACATGCTTTATATTAATATAGAAAGTGCATTATAACATCAGTGATCTTAAATTATAAATAAATTGTCATGGTGATAAAGAAATACAAATCTAATTCTCTTATTTATTCATGCATCAGAATTACTGATTCCTACTAGCACTTTTAGTTTATAAAGACATTATTAAGTTCTTTAGAATAGTACAGATATTTTCATGTATTATAATTCCCAAGTTCATACGGTTATTATGTGCCTAGTTTGCATTAGTCTTATCTCTTTCATTTTTTACATCTAAAAATAATATTATGCACATTTTCACTATTTCAGCCACTTACGTTAGAGATGAATATTGCCAACCAAGACAGAGATTTTTTTTTTTTCTTTTTTGTCCCCAATTCTTAACCAACCGCTTTCCAAGCTATGGGGACTTCGATTATACACAATCTTTGTCAATGTGTAAAGGCTGGATTTTTAAGAAATAAAGACCTTTTTTTGAAAGCTGACATTTTCTTGAATGTTCATTAATCTTATTTTAACTTATATTTTTTTCTTCAAAGTTTTTTGAAACAAAGAATAGTTAATAGCTGAGAACATCTATTTTTTTGCCAGGCCTGTCTCACTTTTGCCAGACAGTGTCTTTGTCATAAATAGAATATCAATTTGTGTTTTTGTTTGTTTTCTTGAATGTCGGTTTATTTTTTTAAGCTGCCAGACTGATCTACAGCTTTATTAAATTCTTCAATCTACCCAGGTCATGCTTCACTTTATTTTCTTTTTAATAGGAAAGTGAGGTAGCATTTGCTGTTGTATGTAATCATTCTTCTCTGTAGAAGAATATGTAATGTTACATGTGATTCTGGTTTGGCATGGTGAATTCACCAGTTCCAGACATTAAGCTCTTAGTATCTTTCAGAAATCCAAACAAATAAAAGCACTTAGGCACTACAGGCCTTACAAATATCTGAGTGGATGATCTGGAGATAGGGGGTTTTACTTCCTTGCAATGTGCCACAGCTCAGCCCCAAATCATTGGCTGAAATAGCAGGGTCAATGAAATTGAATGGCATCACGTTGGCTTTATGGAACAGAAATATTTTGTTGTTCAGATTTTTAGTTTGTGCTTCCTATGAGTTTGGATCTTTGTTGTTATTTGCTATTTTAAGATGTGTAGATACACATTTGTAGATCTGTAGATGTATGCAGTTACTATGTTCTGTTCCTTTGCCTAATTTACACGCAGAGAATCATTTCCATGCATCTGCAGTTTTAGAATCAGCAGCTGGCTTTTTTTGTGTGATCCCAATATATAGGATTCCCAGAAGAATGTATTAGTGGATATTTCTAAACATGTCTATGATTCCATCCTTCTCCTATATTCAAATGTGTAAGCTAAGGTCATTAGGGACGGAATGAAAATCTCTCTGTGAGTTGTTATTTTTATTTTTAATTTTCCAAACACCTGAGCAGGTCTTTTAGGTATTTGTAGCTCATGTTGTAGCATTTATCCCAAGATTACAAGACACAGAGCTGAGCACTGCTTTTTCGAATTGACATTAACACTTGTTAAACAGGTTTTCTGGAAAGCCAACGTCAGAACAAGTATTGCAGTCAAAAGTCAAATCTACAAACTGTATGTTATCACTGTTTAAATATAGAGACATTACCAATGGTAGATATTTAACAAACCTCACACTTACCAAATCATACTGTATACTAAGTTTATATAGCGTGTTTCTAAATGGCATTGTGTTTTAAAAAATGAAATGGGTCAGTTTTGTATTACAAGATGCTCATGCCGTGGAGCTTCATTAGTAGCCTCATTGTACTAATATGGGGACAGCTTGCTGTGGATTGCTCCATTATGCTAATGGCATCAAAATGAAGCTTAGCCCCTACCTCTGCTATGGAAACAATGACTG